ATATATATATATATATATATATATATATATATATAGACTTCTATTTGGATTATATATATATATATATGTAAACAATATCTCTATAGGAGATACCGGTGAGCACAGTTTTTCAATGACTGGTTTAAAATGATCTCTAAATATCCATTTGGCAGTATTACTATACTACTACTACATTCCTTCCTATTCAGTCAGTACAGTTCCAGTGTGATTATATTTATTCCATTTGAAAATTAATTGCTTTTGAAAATTAATTCTCTAATTGTTCTAAATATTTATTACCATTAAATTATAACTAATCAATGTATTCATTAACTAAAATTATGATCAAAAATATTAAACAAAACAAAACAATAAACTTTTATTATTAAACTAATTCACAAATTTTATTCAGAAAAAAGTTTTAATAAATGGATCAAAACTTGACAAATATGTCGAAAATGTTGCATTTCACTAACCTATTAAACGAAAATCATTAACTGAATAGATCTGTGAAATGACATATTATAATACATCGTACAAAACTGGTTTTAAATTGTGAATGACAAAATATTTCTTCTTAAAATAAGCTGGTTAAAAAGTAAGTGCTACTCAGTGAATGAAAATGGACAAGAGCTTGCTTGTTTGAAGTTTAACTTTAATCAAAATGTTTATATTTAATAACTTTGTTTGTTATCGATTTAAAACAAGCATCATCCATACATTATCAGAATGATAATTTGTGTATTAACCTCTTCCATCTTTTGGCAGTAATTGTAGTAGCTCAAGTAGTGCAATAAAATTTTCATTTGAAAAAAAAGTAAGGTAAAATTGTAATTGAAAAACGGACACAAAGAAAATAGTCATTCTAAACTCCAAAAAAAAGGCAGTTATCTACAGCTTTTCATTATAACCTCAAAATAAAATGACAAAATTGGAGAAAGAAATTATTTTCGACTATTTTAGCGATATTCAATTTTCAAATCGTTAAAAGGTATTGGCAATTGATTGGATTACTGTTGATTTTTACGATGGATTTTCTTGAAATGGCTCATTCTGACTTACCTTTTAGCAATTAAAATAAATTTTTCTGGAACTTAAATTTAATAATTAGTTTAATCTTATTCGTATATCAAATATTCTACTATGTCATTACTTATTTGCGACTATTTTTAATAAAAACAAGATAATTTGAAGAAAAAAAGACTGCTTTTAGGCAAAGATGACAAATTAAATATATACAGAAATTTTAACAAATAAAAAATAATTATTAAACATGTCTTTTGATCGCAAATTATTTCAATAAAAATAAAAATAAATGAACAAAACTCTCAATTTAAAATTTTTGGAATATATACAATACAATTTAATTGCCAGTTTAGTCATATGTATTGACAAAAAAATGGGGAAAAAATTATGTTTCTATTTTGCAAAATTAAAATGAAAAATTAAAGTTCTTGACAAAATGTAAGCCATATTCAAATATTACTAAAAAAATAATAATAAATAATTAATGTAAAAATTGAGATAAAATGTTTAAATGATTTGTTTTATATTTTATATTATTATGACTTTTAAAGAATTTGGCGTTGTTTATGTACTAAATGATTTGATTATTGCATTGTCAAAAAAGGATATTTAACAAAATTTTTATTAAAATTCACTTTTCAAATTTTGTATATTTTTTGTTATATTTATTGAAAAAAATTACAATTTTTTTTCGATGATTTTTGAAGCTTTTGTTGGAAGAAACTTTTTGAGAAAAGAAATTTCTGCTAATATCCTCTTATTTTCAATACTCTTCTATTGTAGTACACTGATAATTTAGTCATTTTAAGATTTACATCTGAGATTTACTTTTACTTTGTAAAAAATTTGCACAAAACTGTAAATACTAATTTTATTTTATGATACAATAACTGTATTAAAAATGCTTGAAAGACAATCAATAAAATTACTTAATTATCAGTGTACTGTACTGTAATTACATGAATAAAAACGTTGCTCATTAATTATTATACTTTATAAAGTTTATAGCTACTTTTCTATTTTTTCAATATTATAGAAAATAGTTTGTTTCAGACACAGTCAAGTTCGATAAATGAACAATTATATTTCACAAGCGTTTTTCTTTATTAAATATGTCATCCAATACTGATAAGTAATGAACTAAATACTCATTGATGTCAGCAAGACAGATTCATCATTTTTTGGTAAGATTAATCCGAAAATGAAGAATAAACAAAAACAATATGTATCAATATGATACTATTTAAAAATAAAGCAAGTGAATAAGTTGATAAATTTTATAAATGAATTCCAAAAATTAAATAAGTTCTAGATTCATAATTCAAGATACGATAATTTACCCAAACAACTAAATAATCAATTTCAGATTCAAAATCTAAACAAATAAAATAAAAGCATACTATTACATATTTAGATGTCCGTTTTTTTAAATTATAAATTAATACAAAAAAATTTAGCACATAAACAAATAGCATGTTTATAAAATATATTTGCTTTTTTTACAAAATAAACTTTATACTACTAAGATTTTCATACATAGCTTGTAGTATAATATGATTAAATCAGTAAGTAAAATATTAAAGAGTAAACTTATTTACGTGGACGAAAGTATGAAAATGGTGAATGAATAGTTTTGTTACTATAATAATTTGGACAGTATTTGAATAACATACACAAGCCAAATGGTCCTCGAACAAATTTTTTACTACTTTTACAATAACAACCAGCTGGCTTACATTCTTTGCTACATATCACAAATGGTTTCACGCACGTTCCTTCACATGTGCCACATCGGATATACTCTTCATTTGGCGAACAGCGATTGTCTAAATTGATGGAAGTGGCAAGCATTTGAAGAAAAAAATTTTTTTTTCGTTTTTTTTAATACAAAGTGAGTATTATTCAAAACAAGTCTTATAAGTATGATGCACGCAACCAAAAAATTTTGCCATTGACAATGCATATTAAAACGTGTTATGACAATATCGTTTCTTTCTAGTCATATTCTTAATGGAAAAGATAACATTCTTAAGTAATTTTAAACATAAATGGACGGAAGTGAAATGATTTACACACCTAATTTGCTTAATTAAGAATGGAAGAAATATGCAGTATTATTAACATTTTTCCTCATCTTAAAATTCAAATTTCATTAAAGTTTATTAAAAGTAACTAACATTTTGAAGTTTGTTTCTGAATATTGCCTTCAATATCAGTGCTTGTATTTGACTTCAGAAGATTATCAGGCTTACTGGTAGAAAAAGAATTAGATAGAATTGGATCATTGTATAACTTTTTATGAGGCATTATATTTTTGCTTTGAAAATCCCTTTTAAAATTTACCAAAGTTTTGTAATCTTGTAAATTAGTATGTAGTATTCCTTTGGAATATTTGATTAGTGACTTAGGCTCTTCAGAAATACTAATAACTTTTGTGTTCCGAAACAACTGCTTTTTACTAATGTAAGGATCTAAAGGTTCCTGAAAATAGCCCAATGTAAAAATTTATTTTAGATCTTACTTCAAGTTCAAAAGTTATAAAGTTTAGATTTATTTTGCTATAACTTAATTTGTGTACGAATTTTTACTAAAATAAATTGACTTTCTGCAAAACGCTTTGTTGAATTATACAATACAAACAACGAATATTTACATTTTACTTCGTATTATTGCTGTTTTTCATCAAGAATTTCAAGTTAGGTTTGCTTAAACCTTGTAATTCTAAGAATAATTCTTTACTTTTGAAATTTTCACTAATACATCAAAATACTTTATTTTAATTACAAAATAAATATAAAACGTACGTACGTACATTCAGAGTATTGAAATTTTTTGCATTTCCATGTGATCGAATAAAAATTTCTGCAAATTTTGTGTCATTTTTGCATTCATGCAAATCTATACAATGTCCTTTTGAATTTTGACAGATTCCCTGACCAGGTGGACACCAGCAGAATGATAGTCTGCATAGTGTTGCGCATATTATCTACCAAACAAAACAATTTAGAAAACGGATTCAAAGAAATTATTTTTTGATTACTTCAACAAGTACATATTTAAATATTTGCCTTAAAGATAACAAATTTATCAGCAAAGATTACATGAATGTTTCATCTCTAATTCATGATAACTATGGGAGCACTTTTTTTCATTTCCTATAAAAACTTCCAAGTTAAGTAAAAAATAATAAGTAATAAAATAAGCATTTAAATTTTAATCAAACTGAAACTCGGAATCAACATATTCCATCCAAATTTTGTTTTATGATATTCTTGCTTAAGATCATCACTAATTACAAATGATAACTACAATTTATAAATGAATTTTATAATATCTAAATTTTAGATTAAATTACAATATAAATTTTCGATATCAAACATATTTAGGACTCAATTCCTTTGATTTCAAATTTATTATTTATTTATTAAAATAGTACTCATCTAACATGTTTTTTACAATCATTTACAAAAACTTGTAATGAAAATTAATTACAGTAAAAAATTATACCAAATAAATCAGACGGAACATTTTAGGCTTGTTTCAGTGTTGCTTAAGCGTAAAACAAATTCAACAACTGCCTTAAAATTTATATTTCAAGCAAATAGATATGATAAAAATGTTTGAATAAACATGTAACTACTTTATAATCTCTTTAGCTGATTAGTGCGCTTTAACTGATTTGATTGAAATCAAAACAAATAACCAAAAACTTTTCACTGTTATATTTTTTCTAAATTACTAGTGCATACATATTTAATTGTTCATTACTTAGCTATTTATTCTTTGTATAGATATCTATTCAGTTTTTTTTAACATCTTTTATTCACTATATTGTAATTTCATAGGTAAGTCACATTATAGCATTAAGATAAATAATATTATTTAGGAATTGTATTGTTATAAAAAATTCAGTGGAGAGAAACTCAATTCTTATTTTCCACTCTATTTTATGAAGCTAAATCTCACTCATCTTTGTGTTCTGCCATTTAAGTTAACTAGTTCTTTACCAGTTCTAAAACACTGAGCTTGTGGCTCATCTACCAACTCTGGACGAAACAAATGCTTTACCTTCAATGAGTAAAAAGGAAAATAAGGCTTAACCTAACGTATATGATACAACCAAAACTGTTTGTGAGGCTTCTCCCATCCATCCATGATTAAGATTTGTAACATCAAATGCTCCTAGATATTCTCAAACTCATTCCCACCTAGGAAACAGATGCTATTGAAATGATATTTTTTATTCATAAATAAATCCATTTCCTCTCATTTATAAATTGCAAAGGCTGCTAAACATTTCCCACTGTAATTCAAACATTATGATCAGAAACTTTCTAAATCACTTATCAGCATGTTTTCCTCATACGAATAACTGAAAAATGAAAATGCTCTAAGACACGCACATTAACAACAATAAAGCATTTTATTCTCAGTAAGCAAAAAAACAACAAAAATAATGCAAACAGTGATAACAGTATGTCAAATAATAAGAGTATCAATGTCGAACGATTACATTTTTATAATAATACAATTCCTAAATAATATTAAACAGCTACACAAACATGGTAAGATTAATTTATGCAACAATTTAAAATGATGTAAACAGCAGAAATGATTAAACAAATGGTTAGCCAGACCTATAATGCTTAAAACGATTATGCTGAAATGTAAAAGTACACTTAATCGAATCGGATAGGCATATTTTATCATATATATTTGTATTAATAATTACCGCTGGAAAGTTAATTATCCAAGTTTTCCTAACTTCAAAAATATGGATCGAAAACTGATAGGAAATGGATGTCTTCATAAGCAAATTAAAGAAAAAAAGACTCAAGCAATGCAAACTGTAACAGATTTTTTAGTCAAAAACAAATGGAGGTGTTGCCAAAAACAGCTGAGAACAATAGCATTTTATAGCAAGTTCTGCTACAAAAATTTTATAAGGAATCTTTGCGTTGATGCATTAAGCCACAAAGTTAGAAGATTGGAACTTCAGCATCAAATACCTTTTGATTACAAGTTCAAAACTAAAATACATAACTATATTGCTCCATTTCACATGAGATAGAATTTTGAAGTCATTACGGGCCAATCTATAAAAGCTACGCGATACGAAATGTTACACTTTTCAGTATTTCGAAATTTACCTCATACCATAACATCGTACAGCATAGAGCATGAATAGTAATAAAGAAGAATTTCAGAACGGCTGAAATGTTTCGCAGAGAAAACAAGAAAGGGCCAATCTCATAATGTAAAAAAAAATCAGTTTTGTAGTTCACAATTTGTTCCATGAAATTAAAATATTTACTGATAAATTGTAAGCCGCACCTCTCCGTAACATCTCTTAAATTATAGCTTCGAGACAAACCTGTTTCACAATTCATATAACACTTTAACATGTCTAAGCTAAGGCATTATAACACTTCCATTACTTCAGAATCTTCATGTCGTGTTGTGAGCTTGCTAACTAGCAGTGTTCATATGTCACTCTTGCTTCAGTACCATAATAACGATCTCCAAAATTACCCATTCCTGGAATGACGTAGTACAGCTCATTGACGTCTGGATCAACTGCAGTTGTTAGCAACGTTACCTAAAAACAAACTAATATCAGAGACTGCAACATAAAGAATCCAGGACTGCTATACGTTGATATATACTTTGGGAAAAGCGTATGCCAACGAATGTACACCAGTTCCAGCCATAAGAAGTGATAAAAGAACGATGTTCTCTTCAAGTACATCATGATCTAAGAGCACGCGAATTGCCATCATTGCAGCCGCACCTCAAAATCCTCACTTTATGCACAAAAATATAAATATACCTACTTTATATATGATTACTATTTCACAACATGAAAGCAAATCTATGCAATCAAGAGCTCACAAATACAAGTTGATTTTAAGTGAGATATTATGAGAAGACAATCTGAAAAAAACAAACATCAGTTCTAATAATTTAGTATCCATATTTTAAGTAACCTCATAAATTCTTATAAGCTTAATATATCTTTTGAACTTTTTCAACTTCGATTAAGTGGTGTGAATCATGAAAAACCTGTGGCAACAGTGGCATCCATTAATAAAACTTTGTACTGATGAATATTTTTTGGAAGACGTAAATAAAACAATTCTGGTTCCAACGTTCTTTCATTCGTTTGTATCAAAATCTTGCCAACTTTGCAATCTTTTACAACAGCTCTTAATGCCTGTTCCATTGTTTCTCCTGCACGCATAATTGATACGCCACAAATTTGTGCTGTGCTTCTTTTTCCAGCATACCTTAACATACAAATGATTATAATGAAGCAACTGTGAAGGCATTTAGAAAATATATAAGAAAAAGTGAAAATAAAACAAACTCCTCTTCAGTAGGCGTCGTAACAGTAACATTTTTAAAAGGCATAAAATTCATAGCATTTTCCACAAGAATTCGCATTAGTCGATCTGTATAAAAATTGAATTCATCTCTGAAAATGGATACAAGTGGCTAAACAAGTTTTAGAAAACGAATGGATAAGAACTCCTTAATACCGCAAAAAGATGTCGGAAGTGAAAAAAATCACCTGGATGTATTTCGATTACGTATGATAGTATGTAAACCAATAACTTGAACTGTCTGTGGCACAACATTTAATGTTCGAGGAAACTGCGGCGGTAAATTTTTTTGAACTAAGCCAGCACGCTGCACATAAGGATTTTTAGTTGCATCATAACCTAAAATTTTTACAAAAATTGTGAAACCATTACTAGACAAATATTAAATATACAAAAACAAATTCAGAAGCCATAAAAAAATGATTACTTACCTCTTTCAGCAAGTTGAGTTTTAAGTAGTTTCACAATGAGATCGATTGCGACTTCATTTTCGCCACCTCGCGGTACAATTATGTCTGCAATCTTCATACCTGGAGCTATAAAGGTATCAAATGCCGGCTTTACAAAGCGCAAATATTGGGATAAAACGCCTTCGACATCCCGTCCACGATCTTGAATGTCTCTTTCTAATCTGCGCGCTAATCGTGTATCTGGGTCAGTATCGACAAATACCTTGAAAATTCTCATAAATAAAATTGAAATTTCGTGCCAAGTTTCGTACAACGTGATCAACAAACTGTACCTTCATATCCATCAAATTATTCAACTTTTCGTTGTAGAAAGCCAATATACCTTCAAAAATAAGAACATCTGCGCCATACATTAATTTTGGCTGCTTATCACGTCGATGAGTCGTGAAGTCATAAACTGGTACCTGTAATCGGTTTTGAGTACATCAATCGTACAATTTTGTCCATATAAATCTGATAAAATTCCATACTTCAACATTCTTCCCATCACGAAGACGTCCAACAGTTTCACACACTAAATCGAAATCAAAAGCTTGCGGGTGGTCAAAATTATATTCATTTTTGGAAGCCAATAAATGCTGCTCTTCTGTTAGCACCTAAATTAATTCATAATAGACAGCTTGTAAATGACGGATTTACAAGAATTTTAGTTTTTGAAAAAGAGAAGCGAATTGAAAGATGTTTAAACTAAACATACAACATACCTTATAAAACGAATCCATGGAAAGAACTGTAACCCAAGGCATTTCTAATCGTTCAATTATGCGTTTAGCGACTGTAGTTTTGCCAGAAGCTGATCCACCACAGATTCCGATCATATATGGTTGTTTTAGCATCTTACCTTCTCGATCATACCATGGTGGACGTCCTTTTGTATATATACGCTGTAATTTGACAGGTGGGAAAAGTGAAAGGGTAAGGAGGATAAGTATACAAGATTTAAATATCAATAATCAACTAATTCAATACTACCAAAACTGACATGAATATGATGCTAATGCAGAAAATTTGTTCTCAGAAGAACTGTATCAGCAGAATAAAATGAAGCACGATAAAAACATAATAAATGAAATAGAGAATAAAAAAAACTTTGCCTACCCGTCCACTTTCTGTAGTCATCAAGTGATCTTCTGATTTCGAACCCGAAATTGTTCTCGTATGACGATGTGAAACAGGTGAAGTTGAAGAATCGCTGAAAACTTTCATACCAAACACAAAAAATAATCAAATAAACAGTTAATAAATAACCAATTTTTGCAATAAAAATCACACCCATATTGACTTTAAAAATAAAGTAACAGAAATGAAAAACTGTGAATCAAATGCTGGCTTCGACTCAAATGATATTATACACCAATTTATTGATTGATACTCTCTTCTCACATTTATGTATATTCGGTGCACGAAAAAACAGTTACAGATAATATATGCACAAAATTAAACCTTTCTAACAGTACGCTTGTATGAATACGCTCAGTTGAAAATAAATAATTTTACATAAATATTACCAGTCCGTCAAGTTATTAGTTGTTGAAGAGAAACCGGCCAAGCTATCCTCTGACAAAGTAGTGGTAATCGTTGCATGATCATCAACATGCTCAAGCATCTCCTTCTATGAAGTAAAGCAAGCTAAAAGACTAGCATTGCAGTGAAAAGTGCGAAGCAACAAAAAAGTATTACGAACCTAAGATGCAGTCAGTGAAATGTGTAACTTGAGCAAATGCAATAAAAAAATTAGAGAGAAATCGTTTAAATAACAAAGAAAGAAACGATAACATTAGCTCTCACTTATTTAGCTTGAAAAATAATTAGAATTGTAAAATGTAAAGATGAAAATTTTGTAGACAAAAAGTGTAAAATTAATTAATGAAACAAAATTAATAATAGCCTGTCTGTTAACAAACATAATGTATGCATGATTTAATCACCCACACTCTAGGAATGGTTTACAGCGATATATATATACCGAAAGTTTTTTGATGTAGTAGTAGGACCAGAAGTAAATTCAGCAAAGTCATCCACTAGTACCGAGGTAAGCTCTGATAAGGCAACGCTATTGCAAGGAACTCAAAGGTACAAATACCTTGGAATAGTGGAAGACAAAACTAGTGCATCTACTCGTGAAAGCTACGATAAAGTCCGAACAGAAATTTTAGTGAGAATTGAGTGATTAGCCAAAACTGCACGAAATGGCAAGAACTTTAGCAAGGCAGTGAATGAGCACGCCATGAGTTTAATAAATTATTACATCGGGGTGCTCAAGCTGGAGCCAAAAGACTTCAAGGCTATCGACCACGATACCAGACAGTTACTGATCAATTACGAAATTCACAAGCAACCTGCATGCTTGGCGAGACTGTAGCTGCCAAGGGACGAGCTAGGACGTGGACTTCATAATATTGAGCAGAAGAGCGAGCTTATGCTTCTCCAGCTACATGATGTTTTTGTAGATACCGCACCAAAATGTACTACGAGTACAGCGATTTTGATGCAGGAGAAAGCTCATAACACGTACTTGGCAATCATTGTGCTTTATCTAAGACTAGGTACGACCTCGCAGAAAATCTTACTGTCGGAAACGTGTAAGCAGCCCAGAAGGCGCTCTTGTATAGAGAAACAGAAAAGAAAACGCATCATGCAAAGCTATACAAGATGCGGACGAATAAAATCTCGTCCATCGCTAACTCATCATTCTGGCTACAATATGGAAACATTAGTTACGCAAGATGAAGCACAATGCTGTAATCTCCAAGATAGAAATATGTTCAGAGCTGAAAAAGGTATGTGTCAGCATTGTGGGGAACTTGTGAAGACAGTGGACCATCTAGCAACGCAGTACGAAAAAATGTCACATCACGACTATACTAGAAAACACAATGAGGTCTTACGATGCATCCACTTGGGATTTTGCAAAAAGTATGGTCTGAAAGCATTTCCCGCGCATGGAAAGCCATTTTGTTCAGGAGTCGTCCCGAATGAGAACGATGAGATTAGAGTCGATACTCGAGTGAGAACTGCAATCAGAATAAAAGAGGATTGACCAGATATCATGACCCACGACAAGTAATCCTAATAAACGTTGGCATCACAAGGCAAGATTGATTGCAGTCCAGACTGAGAAAAAACGCAGATATGACCTGTTCGCTTGGGTCAGAGATGAAATGCGGGGCCAAAATCATTCTGTTTTTAATAACTTTGTATGATATTGTAATGAACTCCATATATATATAGATATACACAACGAAGGGGTTAATGAAACACTGATGGAGAAGTTATCGAGAGATCCATTACAAGCCTCTATTCCGGGTTAAATGATAAGTGATGAGTAGGGTTCAAATCGATATAGTTCTCGAAAAAAGAATGACAGCATTAAAAGTGAGAAACATAGGTTAATTTAATGCGTAAGTAAAAACGAGCATATTGTACAAACTTCTCTTCTTTATGAACAAATTAAATCAGATCTATTCCATGAAATGATGGATGGCTAACATTCGTTCTCATCATGTACGTAATCACAATGCAAAAAATTACAGTAGAACTGTAGAGAAAAGAAAGAAACAAAGAAATTATAAATGAATGCTGTGAAGTAACGTTAGACAACAACAGATTATTATAGAAAACGTTTGACCTTATAAGTGTTTGTGACCATGCTAGCATTATTGCAGTGAAAAAAAGAAACAATGTGGTAATTAATATAAGTAGTGGGAATTTTGAATGATAATAAAAACAACTAACTTGGTAAAAGTAATATAGAGTAATATTATTGTAGCAGCTAGCAAGAAGAAACAATAATAAGGAAGTGATCAGGAGAAAATGACGATATCATTCCAGCAGAAAATGAGCAAGTGGCCGGAATATAAGTATAGAATACAAAAGACCCGTCAGAAAATGAATCAATAGAATAATTCTTACACGGCAAACCAAAGTTTTTCTTTCACAAACACAAAAAGCTATTTTTGCATTCATTGATTACAAGCACTTCTTGCAAATAATTTAAATGATGAGATAACCTCTCTGAGCAAACAAAAAATTAATGCAAGAATAAATAATTCTTCTCAAATGTTTCCCTACTACATACACATACATACATATATATAGGCTTTTTCATGATAAAGCTGATACTCGTTTTGTGCATAGACCCCTTGAGCCGTCAGCTTAATATAAGGTACTCAACGGTGGCCTTTCTACCGATCAAGAAATATATATAACGAGTGAATGTTTGTGAATGACCACAAGATCTTCGAGATCAATGAAAATGTCATGAAATCTATGGTCGAAAAAGTTCAAACTTTCTTAATGTGGTATGGTAAGAAATGAATCAAGAAAAGTCAGCCACTAATACCGCGGTATGCGTTAATAAAGCGGCGCTATTGGAAAAAACTCAAGGGTACAAATACCTTGCAATAGACATGACAAGTGCACCTATCAGTGAAAGCTACGATAAAGTCCGAGCAAAGATTTTGTGAGAATTGAGTGATTAGCCAAAACTGCACTAAATTGCAAGAATTTTATCAAAGCAGCGAATGAGCAAGCCAGGTTTAATAAATTATTAGGACGTAGTGCTCAAGCTGTAGCCAGAAGACTTCAAGGCTCTAGAACACGATACCCCACAGTTTATAAAAAATGCAAAATTCGTGATGAACGCTAATATTTAAGAGGCTGTACGTGCCAAGGGAGGAGTTATGACGTGGACTTCACAATGTTGAACAGAGAAGTAAGCTTATGCTTCTCCATCTTCATACTGTTCTTGTAGAAACCGTGCACATATCCACTAGAAGGGCTGCGATTTTGTAGCAGAAGCAAGCTAGCAACCTACAATTTCGTAGACAATCTTAACCGTTAAAAACTTAGCGGCCGATCAGAAAGCGTCTTTATATAGCAAAATAGAACAAAAGCACAGCTATACAAAATGCGAAGTAATGAGATAGCCTCAGAGGTTGATTAGTCAATGTGGCTGAGATACGGAAACATTGCTGCACGAGACGTAGTAATATACTGTCACCATCAGGATAGAAACATGTTTGGAGCTAAAAAGAGCATATTTTCAATTCTTTGCAAGAAATAACGCAGCACTGCAAAGTGTCAGAAAAACTGAAAACACACGCAATGGTCTGTTAATAATCACTCCTCTAAATAACTTCGTAAGAAATGTTACGATTGTAGGTCAGAAAAAGCTATGCTTATTTTTGCACCATCTACTAAAGTTTATCTTTGCATAGATTCATAAGAACACAATTTAAATTAATGAGAAAGTCAATACAATGTAAAGTTATGAATTATATTTCACGCCAAATGAAAACTTCATGCGATATTCAACTCCATAAAAATTATTTCACGACCGAATGGTCGAATCCTCTACCTCCTGGCGGAATACTTTTCTAGTATGACTGATTTATTATCTAATATAGGGAAGCGTGCAATACAGACGCATAAACAGAGGATACGTAGAAAAATAGCGTTCCCAAGTTGCTGCAACAAAAAATCGGGATTTTCATTGGCTAGCTGCTAAATGAAACAATTCTGAGAGGAAATGATATTCATTTCATTAAAGAATGATTAAACAAGATAAAGTCTTAAATGAACAAAATAAATTATTTAATGCACCATAATACAATATGAGTCACCGAAGACCTGATACATGGCAGATGTTAACATATAGCAAAACCCGTAGAAATAATGAAAAGTGAAGAAAAGTGCTCAGTAACTAATGATATGAGTAGAAGAGATGAAATATGGCAGTAAATTCATTTTGATTACAATTCTTTCATGCCCAAATACCCTCTGCATCGTCTTCCTATAAAACGTTTAAATCGAATTGCAAGTTCTTAAGTAATATAATTAAATAAAATATATATTCATTAAATTGATAAATAATCATAGTTTAATAATAAAATCGTTGATAATCACTACTCTGCAAAAATAAAACCTCACTACATTAAAAGCAACTGCAATTATTGAATCACTCATAATCAATTTTTCATGACATAAACTAACATATATAAAACGGCGAAATATTGCAGTCCAATTTTAGTGACAATTATTTTTGAATTTTTTTAGAATCAGACTGTTCAGATTACAACTGCAAAAGCATTGCATAACACAATTACAAATATGTTTTTTTCACACAGATGAATAACATTCTAACCTGATCAGTTATAGCTGGTCGTGGAGTAGCAAGAGCTGGGGCAGAAGTCACGTCATGAGCACCTCCTTGCATAAGATCATTTGCTAAAAAGAGTAAATAAAAAAGAGATTTCACGAACTATAACATCAATGCAATTAAGAAGCAGAACAGGGATTTCTCTGAAACAAGTTGCAAGCCATAATTTAAATGTCACCAGTTACCTAGGACTAAATTTGTTGAGGTGAGAAGCTGAGCACGACGTTCATTTTCTTCCTTCAATTTTTCCATCAATTTTTCTTTATGGTGACGCAATGTTTCTATTTCTTCTCGAGGCTTGTCTCTGGACTGCTCCAGTAATGCAATATGGGCATCTTTTTCAGCAATAGCTGCTACCAATGCTTCATGTCTGTAAGTTAAAAATAAAGCTATAAATCTCCACAGAAAATATTGAAATCTGAGAAATATAAAAATATTACTTTAATTGTAACAATTGATCAATATGTTTTCGCTTCTCAACTTCCAATGAACGCAATACTTCTTCGTGCTCACTATTTGTCAACTTTTTCACACGTCGACGGAGTTCATTTACTTCATGACGTGACTCAGTCAACTGTAACCAACTATGTTCGGTAGAGATGATTTGAAATCACAGTATATCAAACTCATGCTTGAATATCTGCAAGAATCGAGAAACCAAAATGCATACCTGAGTGGCAAGCTTGTGACAGAGTTGCTTTTGTTGTGCCACATGAAGCTCCCTTTCAGCTGTTATACTTACTGATTCCCGCAAAGCCTCCTCTAGTTCTTCTACTCTAAAACAAATGTGTAAAGATCCTAAACAGTGATTTATCCCATATAGAGTAAGAAAAAACAGAACATAAGTAATGAAGGTATCATGAATAATGTGACCTGGATTTTAGAGATCTTTCAGATGAAAGGGCAGCAAATTCAGGCCGAGTAAGATTTACTGCGGGAACAACATTTTTATGAGCGTCTTCTAATTTGCTGGAAACGAAAAAATTAAAACATATCTTTAAATAAATGAATATAGAATATATAAATCAATAATGAAGAAATAAGTATAATATTCTATACTGAGAACAAACCTTTGCAGCTGCTTGCACTGTGAAATTACTGAAGCTTTCTCCTTCTCAAGTGTCTGTACCATGCGGAGAAGAGACTCAATTTCTTTCCTAGCTTCATCGAGCTAAAAACATGGACTCTGTCGAATCAACTGGTTTTTATAAAGACTTTGATAAATCACTTAGTACATGGGAAATAGATTTATAACGCAATCATGAAAGATTGTGGACTACAACGAATGTTGATTTTACTGTCACAAAATTACTAACCTCCTCATCATTTGAATGTTGCGGTGCCCGGTCTTTACATTGCTTCTCTGCAGTTACTAATTCCCGATCCAAATCGCCTATTTTTTCATTTTGGGATTCAAGTAGTATTTGCCTTGAATCAAGAAATATTTTATGTGATTAATAGATAAAAGGTACCAAAAAAAATTTTATACATTGTATAAAATTTTTGGCTTTCGGTAAATTGACACTGAATTTTAAAATTAGTACATGTTAATGATGAGATACTTTGTATGTTAATTAGCAAAGCAATGGTAAATTTAGCTAAAATAATAATATAATGTTTTGTAATCATATGTACTATTGACGTACAAAATGTTTTGAAAAAAACACAAGAATCATATATTTATCCATAGCGCAAAAATTCTATATACAGACTGGAATTTGCAAAAATAAAGATTAAAATATCAACCTATCAGCTAATTCTTTCTGCAAGCTTTCAATAGTAGCAATCAACTGTCGGTTTTGTGCTTGAAATGCTTCCAGTTGTTGTACTTTTTCCTTTTCCGCACTCTGACGTAGCTCATCAATTAATGACTGCATTCTTATTTTTTCCCTATACGACAGAATATTAAAAAGAAAAAAATGAAAATAAAAAAAAAACGATCTCATATATCGTACATTATTATATCAATTTCTACAAAAAGGGACTGTGATAATATTGCTTTAGTATTCAAGATTGTAAAAGATAAATATAATTCTGTGAATGGATAATAAAAAAGCCAAACTGACCTATTCGATTCATCTATTTGAAGTTTCAATTCCTCTTCCTTCTGTACGTCTGGATGCGCCAGTAGTTTTTGCCTTAGTTTTTCAAGTTCACTTTCTTTTTCACGCAACAGACCTTCTCCAACATCAATTCGCGTCAACAACTGACTGATTTTTTGCTCATAATTCTGCATTTAGTAAGAATTCAGGGAATGAATTAGCAAAAGTTTGCTTAAGATTAAGCCAAATATGTTTTAAACCATGTCCTTAAGAATTAAGAACTTACTCTGCTGCTATCACGAAGATCTGCAATACGACTTTTCTCAACTGATAATTCCGTCCCAAGTCGTTCACAAGCCTTTTCTTTTTGCTCTAACTGAGTATTTTTATTTTCTAGTTTGGCACGCAGTGCTTCAATCTAAAAAAAATTTCTATCCATAATTCGAACTTTAGTAGTGGTAGTATATAGCATTTCTAAAGCAGACTCATGCTATCTCACACAAAGACTTTGTCCCATGATAACTTACGTCAGACTGCAGCAAAGCTGCATGTTTTTCTTTTGCTGTCGATGATTCACGGAAAACTTCCATACGCTTCCGAAGGTCTTCAACAGCTTCAGTTGCAGCTTGTAGACGTGTTTGAGCAGCAGAAAGTTCAGCCGTTCTGAAATATCAATTAGCAAAACGTAACCGAAAAATGTTCGAAAAACTGTTATTACAAAGTCCCATATCAAAAAATCTACTTTTGCGCTAGTTCCAACTCACTGCGCTCCATTTTCATGCGAAGTGTGTTGATTTCATGAGGTGTGACTGTCTTATCAGTAAAATCACGAGGAAGCTCTGCTCTTTCGGATCGTAATATCACTATTTCATCTTCCAAATCTGCTATTCGTTGATCCTATAATCAATTTTCTGCACTTTAAATAAAAAAACCAATTCAAAAAACTTCAGTAATTTTTTATACAAACTCTACTTAGGAGTACTACCTTAGCAGCTTGAGATGATAGTGGAAGTTGCGAAAAATGCCGTTCCATTGATCTGATCTGCTCTTCTCTAATTCCAAGTAGTGATTCTAACTGATTGCATCTCGTTTCTAAGTCAGCCAAGCGACTACTTCCATCACGGTATGCAGTTATAGACGTGCGTTCCATTAATCGCCTGATTACTTCATCTTTTTCAACTAGTTCACACCTACAGATTTCAAGTTCTGATTCTAATTCACCCACTCGGAATCCAGATCCATTTGAAGGTCCAATCTAAAAACAACTATTTAATAAAAAGAGATGTTGAAACTTTATAATGATTCGCTCCTGATATTCCACAAAAATCATGAAAATAAGAATTTCTAATATGATAATAAATCCTTAATGACCTGCTTTTGTAAAGCTGCAAGCTTTGCTGTTTCTTCCTTCCGTAATTGTCTTTCTCGTTTTAGCTCAGGACTCCAGAATGTTTTGATAGAATTCATAGTTGAATTCAGCTTCTGCATGGCCATTTCATAGTCCTTCTTCAAGAGATTATAAGCACGAACAGATTGCATATCAGAAGGTTCATATATGTCATAATTATATGACCGAATACTGAAACATTACGAGTATATATTTTTATACAAATCAAAAACTAAACAAATGAAATTATGAGACTACAAAGATATTTAAATGATAAGAAAATTCAGAAATACTCAGGTTTTCAATAAATCTTGACACTTTTGGCATGAAAATTAATGAAAATACTTCGCTGGTTGCTTCCAGAAATATGCGTTTGTTGAGGTTGGATTAGATAACGATGACCCAACATACTGCGACGATGCTATGCCTGTATTTGCTGATGAAATGTCCAAAGGAAACAATGGCTGAACAGTACTAGTTTCATACTCATCCAATGGCATTCCGTCAAGGGATTTATGTTGTCTAAATAATTCATAGTATTCTCACAAACGTCAAAAGCAAGATTTTGTTTACATGACTTATTATATTTAATGCAAGCGTCTACATCAAATTTTTCAATTTCAATTTTAAAACAAATTTTAAAGTGCAAAGTAGTCGCAAACTGCAGTAATAGCACAATTCTTGGTACAAGTTAGGATGGAGAAAAATTATTGACACATCTGTCTTGAGAGAGATTGATATGTCCAAATCCTAGATAAAATATTGATATTTTATGAACACGATGAAAATATCGATTTCTCATAAACACAACTACACCTTTTTTTAAATGCATATTAAATCTATCTAAAAGCACAGGTAAAGAAAAATAAGCAACTGAAGAGCTGGAAAAAAGCGACATCGTTCATAGTAAACTACAACAATAGTAATTCCAACACACTAAAAAAATTGTGCGTAGAATACAAAATCTAAACTTTTATTTAATTTATGTCAAAGTAATATGGAATTCGCATTATATCTCAAAGCATTGACTTTATAAATAACTTCATTTCGTGAGTAACTCAAATTTAATGTCTGAAATTCTCTATTTTATCAGATACTGATACTTGATATGTTAGCAAACGAAAAAAAAAAAGAGATGTAATGAGAGCACATCAGCATACCTTCTCGAATGGCAGCGTAGTAAAAAATCCCAAGTATAAGTAATAAATGAATTGGGAACAACAAAACGTGATATGTACATATTTTCACTGCTAACTTTGCACTCCTTCATAATTTCACTTTCACTACTTTATTCCTTTTAAAATAATTATGAATGCTAAAAACTGAACAAAAAGTAGACGAAAAAAAAGTGTCTTAAACATTTTCGCATCTAATGCATAACTGTACTTTTGTAACCACCAAAGAATTGCAAATCATCTGCTAAATATTTGAAACAGTTTGTTCCAAATGCATTCATTTTCAACTTTAAAGCAATATCATTTATATTTCAATACTCCCAATTTATACAAACACTAATGCACGAATGTATAAAGCGATGACAAGCTGAAAACAAGTAACCTTTGCAAAGTAGTAAAACGTCGATTAGCAGCAGGAAAAATTGAACTCATAGCTTCATTACAATCCACCATGAAATTTGACGGTCTGACACTACGACTACAATTTACTACTGTCGTACCGTCTTGCCACTGAATATTGGGTTCGTATTGATTCAAGAATTGTGTTTCTCGTGCAGTTCGTTGCTGATTCCAGTTAATCCCAAAAGCTGTTGAGCACAACGTTCCTGGTATAATGGGATTTGCCAGTCTAAATGTACTTCCTGTGTATTGCCTATAAAATTGTTTAGCATGAAAAATCTATCTGCTTCATGCTTAATGAACCTTAAGAATTCAACATAACTGTTTAATTATTGAAATCAGGTACAGAAATTCACTTAATGAAAGCAAAAAAAACTGATTACCAAAATTTTACCAAAAAAAAAAAAAATCAAAATGCAGAAGAACTAACGATGAAATTCATTCCAACAAAGGCCTTAAGTTCAAAAATAAATATACAATAACTTTGCATTTTTAACCGCAAAACAAACAAAAAATGGTAAATTCTAAAGTGGTATAAAGCAAGGAAATGAGAAATGACAGGCTTTAGCAAATGAGCCTAATGGTAGTAGCATACTACGTATATTCAAACGTAAAATATGAAAGAGGAAGAAGGAGTTTGTGCACCTCTGCGATAACGCATCGATTGCTGCTTTTGCTTATTCAAAATGTCTCATCTTTGAAAGCCAAAAACTCAAAGATCTGGCCAGAGCCTATTACGCTTTCTTCTCCTTGAATACCTATATTCTATTTCATAGTATACATTAACTCAGACTCATTTACCTTAACAGAACTATATTCAACAAAAGTAATGTGTATTTCTGCTTCTCACAAAAGCCATGACTCGAAATGTACAGCTCAGAACTTGATAATATAAGCACAAACTGCTAACGATTTATTAGCAAAAGAAACAACAAAAAGATTGACAACTACCAATGAGATTTACAATACTTATAACGTGAACTTGTAGTAATTTGCATCGACAAAAGTAAGTCTTTCAAAATCTTTCATTAGGAAATATTTCTATATTATAAAAAGATATTTCGAGAAATCAGAGACCAATAATGATTAGTGTTTCCGTAAAAAATTAATGCTTATGCTATCTACAAATACAAGACAAAACGTTTACAGATTGAACTTCATTGCATTTTCAATTATTACGTGAAGTCTAATAACGAAATTATAGCAAGACAGAAGATAGCATAAAATTTAGCTGGATTTCATCGAAATTAATTGAGTACCTCATCACCAATGGTGAGAAATAATTTCTTTATTAAAAAAATGAGACAGAAATGAAATTTCTTACCGTTCTTGTAAAAATTTTTGATCTAAAAGTGAATGAAAACATTTGTCCATCAAAACAGAATGCGAAAATTTTCATCCATAAACATAAATATTCTGCAATTACGTATTATTTTTTATTATGATAAATGCAAAAACTTAACTACTGCAAAACACATTAACAAATATTTTAAATTCAGCAATACAAGCACTATGATATGGAAGAAAAATAATTAAAATATTTGAATTACTTCTAATCTGTTATCATTGTTTGTTCATCAGTACAGCTAGTGTCATATACTGTTAATGTGATAAAATTTTTTTTTCAATAAAAATATTGATCAATATGTAAATTTTAATTGAAATACAACCATGCACAAATATAATTAGCAAAATATTTGTAAGCAAAACACTAAACCAAATGAATTACCTTCGTCCCATCTCATGCTTAATAATAAAGATTGCAGCACTATCTGATTAAGCAGTATCAACCCAACAATTATATCTAAAAAATAATTCTTGAAACATATTTGATAAGAATTATTTTACTGCGAAATAAACTCACAAATTTATTAACTCTCATCTTTCTCAATGCTAATCTCAATTGACAAATAAAAATACATGCAAAATGTGTAGCTGTACCGAGAATAGAAAAAACGCTGCAATGTTACTGCATACTACAGATCATTTCAAATGCAATCCAATTCATCTCATTAGTCATAGTTTCTATGTAATCAAAATACTCGTTTTTGCTTAGCATTGTATTCTTGATTGTAACTTTTAACCTTTTGACCTCCCTAAGATTTAATTCCGGAATTTCAGCAGAAACATTTATTAGTGAAACCTACAAATTCACTGACCAGACTAATTCAATTCATTCTCTAACTACACTAAATGAAAATCAAAGAAATACACAAACTGACAGATAATCAAAAATTCTTGTCAAAAATCGTAGTATTTATTCTCTGTGCTATTCACTAACGCGGTGCCATTGTGCAATACTTTTGTATTGCATTTACATTTTTTTTTCAATTACATGCATTTTAAATATACACAAATTTTGAAAAACATAGCGTCTGTATGATTATTGTAAAATAAAAATAGAAAAATTGCAAATGTAAATGTTCTTCGACCTCTAAATACTCACTGTCTCGTTAATAGATTTAATACTTAAATGATTTAATTAATGTGATGTAATGAGAACAAATTTGAAACTGCCTAATAAACATTAAAAAGTATTTCAGTAAATAATTGCAATGAAAAATTAAATATCTTTTTTTTTTGCATATTTTTTTCTTTTTCAGTAAGTATTTCTGAGCAGAGAGGACTATTTTTAATCTATAGTAAGGCTGCTTTAGCTGACTACAATACTTGAATTTAAGAAAATTAAAAACTTAATTCCAGAAGAAAGTTAAACAATTAATTGCAATTTGCTGAGAGTACTGTTTGAGACAGAAATTTAAGATCACTCGTAATGATTGATAACATATTAATTACATGAATCATACACAACCCGACAGTGTTGAGCCACATCAGGTTACAGTGTAGCGGACCATAAAATTAAAAATGAAATTCATCTCATCAGATTAAATTAATGTGAGTTGTCATGACATCAACCACTGATTGATATAGGTATATCGTAAAAATGAATTCATTGAAAGAGATTTTTTTTTCAGCAGCTTTTTTTCACCTTTGATAGCACAAAATTTATCGATACATAATTAGAATGAATAATGAATTAAGCTCGTGAAGAAAGTTTTAAAATTCATTAAAAATTATGCAATCGAGCAGAGTGCGCTTGTAGAAGAAATTTATTTGATTAATATATTATATACAAGAACATTCAGAAATGATGGCAGATGCAAGGAGAAGAAGGTTAATGGATAGTTGCATAACGATGGAATTAATCAAAGATAACAAGGATTTTTTGTCTTGCCTTGTAACTTTTTGTCATTTAAATTTATTGACATCAGCTGTTTAATTTGTAATTTTTGTACACAAATAAAGTCTGATTTAAAAAGTTTCAATCAGTAAGTAGCAGAAAAAAATAACTTTTGAAAGCTATTGAAAATTATGAAAAGTCTAAAACTATTTGCTTGGATTGATAGAGGGAGACGTTTCATTACAAAAAGATGCATGTAAGTATCAGTGGAAAATAATAATAGTATGTATGAGTAGTATGAGTTGGTTACAATGAGTAATTGTGGATTGTGGCAGCTGCAGCGAGTGCAG